ACTGTTGATAGATCTTTTGAGATCGGTCACTGTTGAAACCTTTACCCTTTTCATTTTCACACAGTTTCAGTAAAAGCGGGACAAAAGTATGTAAACAGGTGAAATAAGATTTCTCTATGTAATGAATGGTGGTAACAAACAGTATTCAAGCTTATAAGTCTATTAAAAGTGATTAGTCCATGTGACTTCTATAATCTCAGTTCCTCGGGATTAATAAGATATATAAATAACTAATAACTTGTTAAAATTACATTGAAAATAAGCAATAAACACCTATAGCTGCATATAAAAGTACATTGAAGAAACATTTTTCGCTTGCAAAATTAATATTCCTGTTGGGAAAATTTAATAATTTTGACATATATACTGGAAAGGATTATCGTTTTTAAGTATGATATGATATGCATCAACGTCAAAACGTATTTTCCCCAGAAGTACCAGATGATTATTAAAGATGAACAACCAATCATTGTTCGACTGCATAAGGCCTAGTATAAAGTTGGACGGGGAATTTCATGTCAGTCTGTGACAACCTAGGGCGCATATGCTGCAGATATAACACTGGGACGTAAGAATGTACACTGCCAGGTATGTAATACATTTATTTCCATACATGGTTTATGCTATATTTATTCATCAATATATTTATTTGAAAATGTTTAAAACTTCCCTTTTAACATTGGGACAAAAGAATGTACACTGCGAGGTACTAGTATGTAATACACTTATATCAATAGTTCTTGTTCTATTCATGCATCAATATTTTTATTGAAAATATTTAGAACGTTTTCAATTTAACATTTCACATATATTTATTCTTTTTTCCCCCCGCTTAGGGATAATTTCGGTCGGTCTGTCTTTTCCATCTGTCTGTACACTTTAGTGTCATTGCGATATCTCGAGAAGCCTTAGAGCTTTTGAATTGAAATTTTGCTCAACATCTCCCTTTGGCCTAAGGAAGACCCCTACGCAGCTATGTTAAGAGCCCTCATTCGAAATACGCCTTAAAGTAGTCTTAGAAAATTAATATGGAGTTCGATATCATTTTTAAACAGCGTTAGTTCTGATAAATACATCTAATAAGTGTCTTCTGTGTTTGGCACAAAAGCGACTTTATTTGCATCAGCTGTTTATTACGTGAAATGTTTAAAATTAGAAAAAATATGTACGGCAGCACAGATCGAAAATATTCAATATTTTAACACATATTTTTTCTCTAGGAAAATGATTTTGTTTTATTTGAGACAAATTTCTTAACATGAAAAGAGCTGGAGCAACTTCCTCATTCCGGGATATTATGTAAAATTCAGTGTGTTTTTAGCTCTACTGGTCAGAGACCAGAAGAGCTTATGCGATAGTAATGCGTCCGGCGTCCGTCCGTCTGTCTGTCTGTCTGTCCGTCCGTCTGTCTGTCTGTCTGTCTGTCTGTCTGTCTGTCTGTCTGTCTGTCTGTCTGTAAACAATTTTTAAAAACGCTACTCCTCCTACAATTTTAGTCTGATTTCAATATTACTTGGCACACAAGTAGACTACACTAAGATACATAGAATAGTGCATCGGTTTTTGATTTCGATGATCGGTGTTGCCATGGTTACTAAAAATAGAATTTTCTGTGAAATTCCTTTAAAACGCTACTCCTTCTACAATTTTGGTCTGATTTCAGTATAACTTGGCACACAAGTAGACTACACTAAGATACATAGAATAGTGCATCGGTTTTTGATTTCGATGAACGGTGTTGCCATGGTTACTAAAAATAGAATTTTCTGTGAAATTCCTTTAAAACGCTACTCCTTCTACAGTTTTGGTCTGATTTCAATATAACTTGGCACACAAGTAGACTACACTAAGATACATAGAATAGTGCATCGGTTTTTAATTTAGATGAACGGTGTTGCCATGGTTACTAAAAATAGAATTTTCTGTGAAATTCCTTTAAAACGCTACTCCTTCCTCAATTTTGGTCTGATTTCAATATAACTTGTCACAAAAGTAGACTATACTAAGATACATAGAATAGTGCATTGGTTTTTGATTTCAATGAACGGTGTTGCCATGGTTACTAAAAATAGAATTTTCTGTGAAATTCCTTTAAAACGCTACTCCTTCTACAGTTTTGGTCCGATTTCAATATAACTTGGCACACAAGTAGACTACACTAAGATACATAGAATAGTGCATCGGGTTTTGGTTTCGATGAACGGTGTTACCATAGTTACTAAAAATAGAATTTTCTGTGAAATTCCTTTAAAACGCTACTCCTTCTACAGTTTTAGTTTGATTTCAAAATAAGTTGGCACACAAGTAGACTACACCAAGATACATAAAATAGTGCAATGGTTTTTGATAAGTGCAAACCAGTAGAGCTACAGTCTCGACAGAGACTTCTGGTTTTTCGATAAACTTTCATGATTGTTATAATACACACCGAAATAATGATAAAATATGAATTAAAGCAACCGTGCACAAATTTTCAGCATAGTTTGGACAATAGCTACTAGATTTCATAATTTAATGAAGCGGATATTGTTGAACTTTTCAGATTTTCGACGGGCTGTGTCTGTCATTCTGGTACAACATAAATGTATAACCTGCCTTACTGCAGCTTTATACAAGGTCTTAACATACATGTACTAGTATTCAATTTATTAAGTTTACAAAGTAAAGATTAATACATTTAAAAATATATCTTTATTTTGATCAGATAACGCTTGTTTAATTTTATTTTTCATATTTATATCCTAAAATAATAGCTTTGCTTGCGACTCAAATACAGAAAAACTAGCTTCTTGTCAAACAAGTCTGTGACGTCATCAATGACAGTGCAGCGATATCAAGAGGACTTTAATGTCTACTTTTAAATGGTGAATTCATAGCAATTAAGTTAAGTAATACCCCGATTTTAGCTTTTAGAAAACACTTAATTTGAGTGCATGAATTCGTAAATTCAGAGAATTTGTCTTCCGCTTAAAGAAAAAGAAAGAGCATGCTCAAATTTGGGGCGGTGTTCGACCCCCCTCCCCCTGGATTTGTAGAATTATTAAATGTATGTAGTTATATATACATGTAGATTTAATTGCTTGTTCTTTGAAATATGTAAATAGCATTCGTTTTATATGAAGTATTTATTACACTAATAATGATTTTATGCCAAAGTTTGCACACTTCATTCGTCATGATGTTATACTGTATGTATTTTTGTCCGTTGTATCTAGAGAGTGAAAATGCAGAAACTTGATTGTTTAGAAATAATTTTAGAATTTGAAGTGCATTTTGAATTCCAACCCACGATGTCCTTTTTTTCAAAAGTCGATTTCTTTGGCAGTTAACTGTAATTTTTTATGACTAAAGTGGAGACACAAGCTACAAAGCGTTCAAAGGAGCAGAACGAGTGAGTTCATCTAAGTTTAGCAGTTTTACGTCTAAGTGAGAAACAGCGCTTTCGAGGTTTGGTAGTGAGGCTGTTTAATGATTATATGGGGAACTTGTTCCAACTTTCACGAATCTCCTTTGATCATTAATTAAGATGGCTTTTTTCGAGTTTACACTATCTTTACGTCAAGTAGAATCGTCTTTTCCTAAAGTTCTCTACTAATTAAAAGAAACCTTTACATAAGCCCTCATACTTTGATATTCTTTGCAGAGAAAAGATGGTTAAAACGTATAGCTATTAGAACAAGAATTGATAATGTACAGATACAAATATTACATGATAAACCTAAAAATGCTAACGTTTAATTTTACATACTACTCACATAATCTTATGTGATTTGATCTGAAAGCTGATGAAAGTGCTGTAACAGGCGCCTATTTCTAAATTGGGTTTTGAAATTAATCATAGTTACCTCAGTGTTTTGACCTATAATATTCGGTGCATATAGATCGGATAATAATCTGGTGTGTGTTTTAATTTCTGTGTACATGTTTGTCTCCATTTGCAATCAAAGGTGTTAATAGAGCAACCGTAATTCCAAAATTCTTAACAATCTGCCACTTAATGATCTGGTAATAGCAGGCTACATTTGAACGTAAATCATTTATTATTTAACAAGTTGAACCTGAGGATCCAACTTTTTTTGCAGAATATAAACAATCAGAGGGTCGAACTTATTCCAAGAATAAAGATTACAAATAAGTCATTGTGTACAATGTCTTACTAGCAAAATAATTAGTACTGATTTTATTTGTTAGCCTTAAACGTGTGTGGCGTCGGTAGTCCAGTGGTTAAGGTGTCGGACTCCAAACCGAAAGGTTGCGAGTTCGAATCCTGGCCACGACAAGCCGACGTTGTGTCCTTGGGAAAGACACTTTACACAAATTTCCTCACTCCACCCAAGTGTAAAAGGGGTACCTGGCCATAGACAGTGAAAGATATTGTCAGAATGTTAGTGTTCTAGCGCTGATAACGGCAGCTTGCACTGAGAAAGATTCTGGATTGTTAAGGTCTGCTGGAGTAATAATGTATAGTAAAGCGCTTCGAGTAGCATTTATGCTAGAAAAGCGCTATATAAAAACAATTATTATTATTATTATTAAAACTAAATCATCTGCTTTAATGATATCAATCTGATGAAATTCGTACCCTTTGTTATGTCCCATTACGTCCTACAAATATTAAACAAATACATGTATAAGGGTTTATTGTGATATGAAAGTGATGATAGGGATGTATTATACGCCTCACAAACATATCACTTATGCACTATTTTAGCTGTGTATGCAGTAGGCCAGAGATTGTTTTTTATTAGTAAAATTGCTTGACTGTCGTAAAACAGGCAAAGAACTTTGATGTTGATAAAATATCGAAGAGCATGATTAATTCCCAAGTTTATATTCATTTTCCGTATCAATATAGAGGTCCAGATTCCATTAGCAAACAATTGATTATACAAGAAAGTTATAATTCATTGACACATACCATATTGACTAGTAAGATAAATATTCTAATAGGAATGGATTTTCTTTGTTTTCAGCTTAGCGATTGATGATAAATCATATTGCAGAGATGGACGCATCTTTACGCGATCTGGACATGTTTTTCTGATGAAGTGGTTTTAAATCCATGTTTTTCCCATTGCAGTGACCAGTTCTAGCAATACAAATCCTACAGAGATTTTGGAGTTTATAACAGTGAAATACTTTGTTCTTGATGGGATATCTTTCAAAGCAGCTCCTTAAATTAATTATCCGAGGTACGTACAATGTATTAATTTATTTCATGAAGTGTTGGTGTAAACATAGTTACTATAGTAGCAAATTTATTTTTTTTTCTTTTGATGATTCTTATGTTTCTTTTGAGAAAAAAAATCTTTGTTTTAAATTATTTATGTATAAATTAAATTTTATTATCTTCACATATTTTTTCATCATTAGAATAAACCTCAGAGTCTGTTATTCATATTCGATGACACTTCGTTCCAGTATATTTATAATTTTCTTATTTTACGATAAAAAATATACGACATAAAGGGTCTTTTGTTTGGGTTTTTTTTTTCTTTATTTTTGATTTTGTTTTATGTTTGTTTTTAAATAAAGTTTTTGGGAGCTACGATTTCTCAGTAAGTAAATTTTCATCTTAACCTACAAGTTCGTTCTCTTGCATTAAACGGCAAATTAAAAAAAAAGTTTTTACTTCTGTGGAATTCATCTTTCCTCCTTTTACTTCGTTCCTTCACTTCATAAAAATCTTCACTTTGGAGTCCAAAAAGTGTTCCATCAAGTTCCTATCTTTACGATATTCGTACTCCTGACAAAGATACATATCACTTCTGTAAAGGAGAAACTTTACAGTTATAAATTGTTATTGTTTAATGCTGGGTCGGTAGTTTTTTAAGTCGTATTCGGAGATAGACACATATGACGTACCCTTGCTACAGAATTGTCAACAAGTGTTGTAAATCAAGTGTGAATCTCCGAAAATTTAATGAATATGTAAAATTTAAAATCGCTAAAAATTCAAAGGTTCATTTTAAAATTATGCACATAGCATCAATAAAATGTTACCAAAAGCTGGAACTTATATGCCCCCCCCCCCACACACACACAGGTTCTACGAAATATATTTTGAAGTCTCGGCAATTTTTCTTCCTTAAAATGAAAACATGACTTGTTGATGTAGGCGTCTGTTTTTCAAACATGAACGGAGAAATCTCCATATTTTTTGTCATCAAAATAGAAGACATAATATGTAATCTGGTAAATATGACTCCGCTTTTACAAATACGATGTACTTTAAAATTGTTAATAAAAGGATGCTGGAGTTTCTCATTGAGAATATACACGAAACTTTGGTGATCTGAAACGTATTGAATCCGAACTTAGTGCTCAGACTTGTACTCTGATCACACTATTCAAAATTTTTATACAACTTAGAGGGGAACGCAGGAGCAGGATTATGGTTATGGAGTATGAGTTTGAACATGGAGTACATACTCAAATAGGTCAGGTCTTCCATCAATCCATTGTATAGTGAAACTACATGTACATGCAATGTATAGTTTTATATTTCTATGTATTGTAAAAGCAGAATTTATTTTAAACTTTAAAACACTTGCTGTGTCTTTGTCAATCAAAAACACTTAATATCCAGTTTATCAATTAACAGATGTGACTTTTATTCAAGAAATACGGAGATAATGAACACTTATCAGGCTAAAGACGCTTTATAGGTTAGACAATAAATACATGAATGTAACAATAAATGTAGTTACTTCCATTTATAATATATACTAGTGTTAATGAACAGATATCAAACTAAAAAAAAGTCCATTAAAACAATACAAATCGGACGCAGAGCAAAGACTGGCCTCTTAAAATATCAGAAATGGGATCAATTACCATGGAGGCCGGTCAATCCCGCCGAGTGGTCCTTGTCATGATCGGGGAAACAGAGAAAAGTAAGCATATAATGATCTAACAATTTATATGAAAAATGTCAGTCAGCATTCCCTTTAGTCTGCTTATATGGTAATTCTTAGAAAGACCACAGAACTTGGCGATGCAAAATGGTGACTTCCAGCGACACGTACACGTACTATTATCCATTTGTCAATAGCTCGCCTGGTCTTAAGAAAGTGTAGAACATGCTCTTGCGAATCAAATAGGTTTGGAGACTAAACCCACTATGTAGTTGATTAGGGAATATTACTCTAGAAGTAAAGAACGTAAACGATAGAAAAAGTCATCAAGTTTATAACATATACCAACTCCATACTTCCCAGTGAATTTCTAAGGTTTACTATAAGAAGGATATGGAGATAACGAACAGTATTCAATCTCAAAGTCCATAAAACAATACAAAATAAGAGCAGAGCAAACACGGCCCCCCGAAACATCAGAGGTGGGATCAGGTGCGATGGAGGAGTGAACATCCCCTGCCGACCGGTCACACCCGCCGTGTGCTCCTTGTCATGATCAGGAAATAACGGAAAAAATCCGTCCTCAATTCAATTCAGTGTATAAATAATGGACTAACTGGTGTGAAAAACGTCAGTCAGCATTTGACTCAATAATAAATTGTATTTGCTGACAAGGTCATTGTATCGACCACAGAACTTATGAAATGATGACTTTAAACGAGACTGTTGATATTCTTGTTTCGTCAACTTGCTTGTCAATAATTTACCTCGCTTTAGAAATTGTCCATACGTAGAACATGCTCGCGTATCGAATCAGCTGAGATATATATACTCCGTATGCAGGTGATGAAGGTATATTGCTGCATAAGTAAGGGAAGTTGACGATAGAAAAATTAAAGTCATCACGTTTGTCATATAGCTTCGTTGTTAGATTACCATTAGTGTCTTTTTCAAGTAAAATATCCAAGTATGAAACAGATATGTCCTGTTTAAAGACTTTTATTGCTTGAGTCTTTTTACGATCACTCACTGTTGTATTCCCCTAATTCACTGAATAAAATAATTAATAAAAATAAAAGCCTTGAGACTCCTTAAATATTAAAAATCAAGAAAAAATTTAAAAAAAAAAAAAAAAAAAATTACGTTATTTACGTAAAGTAAAATGAAACAGAAAAGAAATTTATGTTACAATGAGCAAACTAGTATAAGAGTATTCCCGAGTATACCACAATCTGACTTAATCTCTACAAATTGTAGGATTTCGGTCATTATGAAATACCAATTCAAGGATGGCTAAATTTAAATGTGGAACTGCCTTTATTAATATTAATCCAGTAGTATGGCACTTAAAATAATTTCCCTTATGGAGTGTAAAGGTAACACAAAGTGTCTAATAGAATGCTTGGTTATATTAGCAGTAATTTGAAATCAGCTAGTATTTCAATTATTTCTCTTAAGCGATTGAAAGCAAATGGATTTGTCGATAGCTCACGATTAAACACAACCTATGAATAATACAAAAATTACATCCAATAGTCAAAAGGATTTGATTCATAATGTAATGGTTCTAGGGGAAACGGATATTGTTGACGGGGGCTGAGTTATGTCGACTCTTTAATGTAATATTAACGTTTACCGTGTATTCACGCAAAGAGAAACTCGATTTCATTTTAACTTTGATTTTTTGATTGGCGAAAGAGTCATATTGTCTATTGCTTGCCAACGGTGGCAAACACAAGTTTTCATTTTTTTTCCAAGTTGTTAATTGGATTCTAACTTTACCAATGGACAAATCCTCAATTCTAGGAATCAAAGAGAAATTTCCATTCATAATTTACCAAGTGTCTCTTATTAATATTAGCTTACTAAAAATTGTTTTGCTTGGAATTAGCTGCAGATTTGTAGCACTCCGAAAGAAATAATATATTGACAGACCAGCCGTCTATCCCCATTTTTTCAGACCATATATTATATATTTATATAATTATGTATTATATATATATATTTATAGATCTGCAGCTAAATACAAGCTGTAAAGGTTGTAAGCTATAAAGATGAATTCTGTTTGCAATGAAATTATAAATTTTTTTTGAAGTTGTTGCAAAAAAGCATGTTATTTATAATTTATTTTAATGACTGCCCTTGCCTTGAACGGCATTTCAACCAACGAAATAATTGAAGAATTTCTCATTGTACAATTTCTACCAATCACAAAAGAGAGATATAGTGTCAAGTGACGTATAGTCCGAAGACTGTAAAAGAATTCAACTCTGTAAACCGTTTTCCTAGGAAGACGATACCGACGGTAATCACTATATGAACTGCATTGACATATTTTGATAGGTGGTTTCTCTCGAAAGCCAATTGCTCGTTCCGTGTATTGGACATTAGAAATGTCATTAGTTCTTTACTTTGTCGTGTGTTACTTCAGAGAATTTGTATCAAATACGACACCTAGCTTTTCGATGGTGCATGTTATAGAACAAATCCTCGATAAAGATGAATTTTTAATACCATTTGTGTCTTCCATATGTTTTATATCTTTTTTTTCATAGATTATGAGTAAATAATACTGTTTTCAGAATAAGTTCATGTATCGGTTAAATTAATGATAAATGTTTCACAATACCTTTTCAGTTTAACTTACAAATCGACAGTGTAATTTTTTTAATTTGAATACAAGAGATGAAATTAAAATTGTAATGCTAGTAATGAAATATAGTTATTACATTATGTTATTGTATTAAGTTATAGGGCTCGATTTTCTAATGGGCATTACCGTTCACGGTAGCTCAGTCGGTAGAGCGCTCGCTCCGTGATCGGGAGGTCGTGAGTTCGTATCTCGGCTGCGACTGACCTAGTCGTTATAATGGGTAGCAACTGTTCCTTCGCTATGCGCTCGGCACTTTAAAGTGAAAGTTGCGGGTCCTTCGGATGAGACCTTAAAAACCGAGGTCCCGTGTCAGCGGCAGGCGTTGGCACGATAAAGATCCCTCACTGCTCAATGGCCCTGAGTGCCGAGTAAAGGTCAAAATTTGAAGCCCTTCACCGGCATACGGTGACGTCTCCATATGAGTGAAAAATTCTCGAGAGGGACGTTAAACAATATACAATCAATCAATCAATCTAATGGGTATTAATTGATTGTTATACTGTATATGTACTTTTACGATGTGTTAGAATACCGTTTTAGTTCACTGTAATTATCGTAAACCGTGATAGATATTTCATTTACAATATTTGTAGTACAAATGTAACTCGGTGAGTCATAGGAAATAATAAAAGTACACTCACAGATCTATAAGGGGATGAAAATTTAAGTGAATAGTTCTTGA